GTGGAACAGAGGTGGAAGAGGAACATACATCTTGTAGAGCAGACAATTCTCTTTCGAATGGACATGATGTAAAAGCTTGAGGATTTAGAAGAAAACTTTTTGTTTGAAAAAAAGCGACACTTTTTATGAGACAACCTAATACTTCTACCATCATGAGGGAGTGGTATGGCCGAGAGAGTGAATGTACGTGAAGTGAGCACAAGCGACTCGTGCGTGGCGAGAGTGAATATCCACGTGAGAGAGCATGACTGAACCGGCAAAAGTCGTCTACGATCCCTCGACCGAATTTCTTCCTGGTGAAGGGCACAAACGGATTCGCATAGTTAGACGAGCCATATATTCAGCAGATCAAGTGTTCCCTATCTTGAAATCCTTGGTATTACCACTGGTGGTCCTTTCATCCCTCGTGCTTGTCATATACTTGATGAATACAGTGTAGGAGGTAAAATAGCTGGGTGATCAAAATTATTGGGTGCGCTGATGCCGGTTGACACGGAGTTGTGCAAACGCATCGACGTTTGACATCTGCCAATGTTGATAGACAGTGAAATCGGAGTTATGCGTTGCACATTTCTTGAAGGTTTCCGGTTCTCATATTCCAGCACTTCAAATTGATGGTTATTTCATCTCGGGAAATCTCTATTGCGGAAGGCCTAGCGTGCAAGGGGAAAGGGAACTGGACCATGTTCTTGTTGAATTTTGAGCTCTGCAATCGATAGCTATTATGCAGTTCTTCCCGTAAACAGCATGTGTAGTTTGCAAATTATGGGGCTAACACCCAGAGAAATTATTATGTCTAATATTTAAATGAATTAAATTGTATTATGCTGTCTTTTATTATTCGTTTTAAATTTTTTCATTATTTTAACCTGTTTTGTTTGTCAATTGTTGTGTTGACACCACAATCGGAAATTTAACAAGTATTCTAAATTATGAGCAAACCTTGACTCTGGTGAGGGTTTGAAACCGTACCTGTTGCTTACCGTGAAATCGTGCTACTATCAGCTACACCATTATTATTTTGCATGGAGAGTTGCTTTCGGAAACCAACACCATTGATCAAGCTTCACGATTTTATTCGGAAGCACAAGTCTTGCGACATGCTTTTTTTCTATTTTAGCTTCATCATTTTATAATAGGCAGACATTACTGCATAAAATACTCGTCATTTTTTGAAAAATTCCGAAGGACTGTTACTCGATTGAATTCCCGCCGTACACCTGTCCCAATGTAGATATGAAGGAAACGCCACATGTTCTCGGTTCTCTGCATCCTATTCTTCGATTGTTTTGCTTCTACTCTACAAATTCGCATGTTTTAACCCGATTCTTCAATGCATTGCTTGATATGTAGTTGATCGCCCCAGTACGCAATTCTTTCCATGCTTTGCATTTTCTCCACCCGACCTACCCGCGACCGTCCCCAGAGCGTGGTTTTGTAGTTTTGATTTTCTTCGGAAACTGTGCTGTATTCATGATGGGAAGGGAAGGAGAATTTTAATGAATGTTTTCTTTGACAGCTTGCCAAGCATTCCGATGGGTGCGCTTGTACAATGCCTCTAAATCATCGACCAATAAACCTTTGAAGCCGTTTGTGACGCAAAACCCTGCAGGATGATAGTATGCTTTGACTTCCAACTTCCGATCAGGGTGGCACGGTCAAGGATTGCTCGACGGAAGGTTGTGGTTGCCTTGATGGAATGAAGGGTCGTATTTGGAATTACCGGCTCCTACGTATATTCAAAAACGAGGACGAATTCGGGTCTCATTGGGTACAGTACTTTTTCTCACTGCAGCACTGGGGTGCATGACACCGCTTTCGTCGTGCCGCCGTGACGCGTGCTTCCTTACTGACCACAGGCCATTTGGTTGCTTAAAAATCGCCACGCGACCCAAAGAAGGTTACGAGATTCTGCGGAAAACCGATAATCGTTTATTTCGTTAGTAGTCTCTTTTAATCCCTTTGAAAGTACCGTTTTCAGAATGAGGCGAGTAGCCGGAGTTCACATGCGGGCATCTCGCCATCGAATAGTTGCACTCACCAATCAAGAGGGACGGCGACTGGCTCCTTCCCTCAAGTAAGCATAGCATGTGTTTTACTTCAGAGTTATGAAGGGATCATTTCACTTTTTTCAACATAATTTCTAGAACATTCTCAGATCCGCATATAGAAGAGGACAGCCAAGTGACAGCACGACCAAAATCAGTGCCATCACATCCGGCACTAAAAAGATCATCATCACAGCCACCGATGCGCCAAAGGCACCAACTCGCCGCTTTAAAAAGTAAGTGGGCTTGAAGATGAAGTTTAAGTCTCTTTTGAAATGTTTACACGCCAAGGTCACACTATTGACAAATAGGCGATATAAAGAGGAGACAGATGCGAAAAGTTGATATCACTAAAGGATTTAGTAGTCGAAGAGGCTTTCAGTGTATCATGTTGCCACCAGACCGCCATCGGTTTTGGGCAACTTCGATCCCTCAAAAGTACCTGTAGTTTGACGGGTTGGGGAGACAAAAGCTCACCGGCGGCGTGGACGCGAGGGTGGTTGCTGATGCAAATGTAAAGTCGCAGCTGCTGCAGATTCGGAGGAAGGAAAAGCAGTGGCTAGGGACGCTGCCACTTTGTTATACGGGGCTTTTGGCACTATACCAACTTTTTCAATCAGTTGTGCCGCTAGCGAGTGATTATGTTACGTTTAGGAACAAGAAAGTAGTTTTTATCGAGCGTAGTAGTCAAGACTTTTATGTATAAGCCCTTAGAGGGGGCACAGTCAAGGACGAGTTGATTGAAACAAGTTCGTTCCGCAAACTCGATTCCTCTTTACTTCTACTTCTTGCACAAAAAGAGCACGATCAATGCTCAAAGTACTAGTGTACTGTTAGTAAAGCTGGCCCTAACTTATTCTCTGGCCGTCACAGTGACGTCACCAACCCATACGCGTGCGCGCCGCCGGTGAGCTTTTCCATGGGCCGGGTTTGAGAGAGACACCGTAAAAACTTCTTAATGTCCAATCAATAGAAATGAAAATTTCTAACAGCACTATCTTCAGTTTGGGAACAATCTTGTAATCAAGATAATCTTCGGCATATAATAAACAAAATATTATTGAATCTGATTCTCTTCAGTGACCATGAAAATGATAAATCTGTTGAGATATATGACACGTAGTATGTTGTACAATGGATGACCAAATTTCCAGGAATGCTCCTGCTTCCTTCTATTTCATGAAAATTTTCCAATCGATTCAAAAAAAAACTTCATCATCATCTCTTCCAAAAATACAATTCCCATTCTTCCTATGACCTGAGCCAGTGGGCAGTTGACCTTGCCTGTCACATTAATCAGTCATAATTTGATTTTGACCACTTCTTAAGTTTAATTGCAATATTTCCCGAGCCAACATCAAAACTTACGAAAGTGTTAATGAATAGTTAATCACTTAGTTCCAAACGCGCTTGCCCTTGAACATGTCATGTACTTCAGCTAAATAAATATATTCCATTTGTCATTTCACTGGGCAGATCTCGTTTCCTAATCCAAGGATATAGCTTTTTTCCTTACCGGACAGAGCCTGTTCGAGCATGTCACCAGAGTTCCTCAGGTATGACGTCACTGAGTTGTATAATCGTTGATGGTGGTGGTGTGTGTAAATTGTGGCTACTAACACCTTTGATGCGTCCCATTCTGTCTCAGTCCTTCCTATTCCGATTCCGCTTTGCAAGGGTGGTTTCGGTTTATTCGCTATTATTGGGTTGTCCAGAAAATCCTGCGACACTTTGTCCAAGATTTTTGATTGTACCTTCTTTGTTGAATGGGATATTCAATCAGCAAGGTTATCACCGTAGCATGTAGGAGACGTGCCCTTTTTCTGGGCAACTTCTCAACTCTCTTACTTTAGAAATCCGGCGTTTGCTTTGAAAAGAAGCGCTTCATCCAATTTTCGAGGTGACCTCAATCATTGGATTTTTTCTCTTCGAGGTAGCGCTCCAGTGTACTAATTACGCAATATTTAGAAACGACTAAGTCGGGCGAGTAAGCCAAGCACTGCAAATTTCCCGATCAAAATCCACGATCTCTTCATATGTAATCCTTCGCCACATGCAGATATGGGTTAGGTGGGGTAACACCATATAGAGAATTTCTGCGTGAACTTGACGCATGGCTTCGGCCAAATTTGAAGGTGTTAAAGCCGACAATGGTCATCACCGTGGTGCAGGTGTCCAGCAGCTTTCTGTAGCGAATCAGTTTGCAACCTCATCAGAAACACTAAAAAGTCCTTCTTGACGAAGGCCTGCTTTTGTTCCTGCGGGCAGCTTTCCTCCTTGTCGAATCCAGTAGTGCTTATGTGTAGTTTAGTCAAGGCCAGAGCTATCTTCATTAGCCATCATTTTTGTCAAGAGATTCCTTTGATGCGAAAGAAGAAGAGAAATCTGAATCATGGTCACACGGTTCGCCTCCCCAGACTGGCGCAACCCATGTGGTGTCAATGGCGAACATACTGATCTAACCGAGATCGTGCAGATCCTCGACAATTGTCGAATGAATGCATCTAAGCGTTGGTTGTTAACCTACGACTGGTAGCAATCGGCTGCGCCTCTAGGAAGTTGAGTAAACGCTCGTCAGTCATCATCTACTGCCGTCCAGCTCCGTGCCTCACTTCGAACAAAATATCTCCAGTTGCGAGGCAATAGGGCCAACGGGACACCATGGCCTAGTGAATGACATCCCTCCTGACTACAGCACAGATGCTAGCTGCAAGGACACAAACGGGTGGCTCGAAAAATAAAATAGGTCAAAAGATGTGTTGATTCAGAGACAAGTTTGAAGCAGTAAACGCTGCACGAAGCCTTCATTTACGCTTCTGCCGAAACCTCCGAAGATACACTGCAGCAATCAAATACCAAAACTACTGGAAAGAGTTTTGATTTTTTCCTAAAGAACTTTGTTCAAAGTGTCGCAGGATTTTCTGGAACAACCCAATATATCACAATTGCGAAACTCAGTTGTCCCCTTTTGGAACAAGCTCGTGCTACACATTTCTTCTTTCTGTGGTGGAATATTAATCTGACAGTGGGGGATGAATGATGTAAAACTCCCACTCTTTGTGAACATTTTTTCTCTCTTTACAAGCTGATCTTGTTAAAATCTGCAATATTTGATCTTGTCTGCGTATTAAGTCGGACTTCCTCCTCCCGATAGATCCTAGCCGGGTTAAGCAAGGATCCGGTATGAGAGGCTAGGAAGTTCGATCCCGTTTGCTTATTTCATAGCAACAATTATGTGGTAGTGGGAGAAGAATGGCGCTGGCTTGGTGATTGTTTTGCTTCTGATAATTACCCCTTTAAGTCGGATATGTTGAAAAAATGCCGCATTATGAATTCCGGAGTTTTGCGGGTTCCACATAGTACCCTTTCGCGCGAGCCCTCTTTTTCTTCTAAGGTAATCGGTTCCGCATGCATTGAGCCGTTGTCATATAGAACCAGAAAATCTCTTGAGAATCCTTAATGGGATAACTCCAGGTTCAAAAGTTTTTGCTCTGAGAGTCCATCATTTATAATGCAGTGCATGGCGGGAAATTACGTGCGCTTACGTAGATTCTGGATCTGTTATAACGAGAATCGCACGTATATGCTCATCCAGATTCATGCATAACTTACCATGGTGTTAACAAAAATACGTGTCGTCATTAGCCGTCAATGATCATCTTCTTATTTTTACTTCCATCGCAGTCAGGACCGATTTGCGCGAAATCTTGACCGTAGTTTTTCAGGACCTTCCATTCGCACCTACACATATGTATTGTATTTTGAAGGCAGAATTCACAATGAAAAGTTAGCTTATTGGGACTGAGGGTAGAGGTGGTCAGTGAAGCAATGAAGAAAAACCACTTCAAACGGCCCAGAACCCGAGAAATGGGAGCCCGTTGATTTGCGCATTGATGCGACTCTCATCGCTGTGCCCTCTTCAACACTACGCTCTCTGCTATCTAATCACTCGCCACGTATAGACCTGCGGCGAGTGATTAGATAGTCGGTGGGCGTACCCCGCCAAGAGTGAGCCATGCTAGATCGCCGAGGTCAAATCTTTCGCTGCCAATTGCGCGTCGGTCAGCACCCTCAGGAGGTCCGCCTGTCTCCCAACTATGCAATTTCCCCTTCTTTGACCTTCGTTCTTATCGTGAATTCCTCCTTTAATACAGAATGAGCCGATTCTACTGAGGCTGGTCGATATAACTCAGATACGAATTCCGGAGCAGACAAGAAAATTTTGGCTTGTCACAGGAGAAACTTAATGTACTGATTTCTTGGCTTCGTTTGACCAGCAAGCTGGAATCAAACTTCTGAAGAAAGCCACCTTGAGCCCAAACGAAAGCTGGTCATAAAATTCTATTAGGTTGGAAAGAAAGTCCTGCAACACTTTTTCAAATTTTTGATTTTAATTTTATCTTTTTTGTTTACAACTCCTGACCGGTCTTATATCTACCATGAGTGTCCACCACTTGTCTTCAACGCTCAGAAAATTTCTTGATGCTCCTTTGCCAAAACCCAGCGGAGTGCGGGTCGAGAAAGGAGGCGACCTCACTTTCGAGTTGGAGTTGATCGTCTAATTATTTCGTCATCAAGATGATGATTTAAGGTCCAGGATAGGTGGCAGTCATTTATAGCTCGACCAGGGGAATACGCTAAGAGAGGTAAGAAATCTTGCCGCAGCTCCAGAATTTCTTACCGGCTCATTTCGGATCATGGTGATTCGCAATGTCATGAAAGAAATAAATATTGTCGCGGTACGAGGGCTCCTTGACGAGCTGCCTCGGCCAGCTTCTGGAGTTCCGAAGCTAGACCTCCACCTACACTGCGATGCCTACAGGGGTGGCCGAAAAAAAGAGACACTTTGCCCATGGCGCACATCATCGAACTTTTCGTCGCACAGGGTGCCGATGTTAATGAAAGTTTAATATTCCTTAGGTGTTCCCCCGTAAGCAGAAGCAGGCCCTCCTTCACTGCCCCGCCGTCTTCAGAATATGACGTCATCTGCCGTCACCGTCGAGCTCAACGAGGCTTACCGTAATCGCTCCGGCCTGAAGCTGCTACATAATTTCTTCAATGGATTAACTGTTGAATAGCTTCCCAGAGTATGCAAAACCGCTTTTGACCAGCGTTTCAGGGACGTCGTAATGGTCTATGGTACCTCGACGACCTCGTTGAGCTCGTACCGCGAACCATGTTTCCGTGGGAAAATCTTCTGATGTCGTCGGTGTAGAAGGCTGTCATGTAACTTTAGATAGATTAGAATGTGCTCTTCAATACTAAGTTGGGGGCAGTCGATTTGATTTTAGCAAAGTGTGATTAATGCTGTCTGAAATGTGGAGTGTCTCTTTTTTTTGGCCACCCCTGTATAACGAAGAATTTGTAGTTGGGCTTCCGTAAGAGCCCTATCTGTAATGGAGTGTGCGGGACGCTGCTGGCTTCTTATAAAAATATCAAAAGATCGAAAGCGCTGGTAAAGGTGAAACACGCTGTAGCGGTGAACGGCATGCCTATTGAAGCTATTGCAGATAGTGTTGGTCGTTGACACGAATCCATAGTTATGGAGACATTTGTACTAGACAGTGACTCGGAGTACGGATTTACTAGTGGTCGAGGTTTTTGAATTTTCTTGGATAACTACTGACTGCAGCACTTATATCCACCTCGTGGATTGAAGCCTCGAGAATGCTCCTAGTCATAAATGTTACCTATGAATTTTTCAGAAAAAAAGAAAATTTTAGAAAGAGTGTTGCAGAACTTTCTTTCCAATCTACAACATAATCGTCTTCTATAGTCGCTTAACTACTGTATGGCTGGGGATTCAGGAATGTTCGCAGCCCATCATTATAAGTGAAGGATGGATCTGAAAGGGAGAGGTACGTGGCGCAATCGCGTCGAAATAGGCTCCCGCAGAGATGTAACAAGGCTCTACCCATCCCTTTAGACGTCTTCGCCCCATTGCCCTTCCACTTACGGGCTACTTCAGTTGCTGATCTCTCGACGTCGAGCTGCAGACCTTTTAGAAGAGGTACAGAACAACTCGGTTACGTTGATGACTTAGCTTTGATGTGAATCATCCTGGGAGGAAATCAGCGGGCAAAACAATGGTCCCATTTTGCGATTTTAGTTTTTTTTTTCTATCAAAGCTGCACCTGAGCGC